AATCTGGCCCTAACCAAGGCAATGCCCAGGCTCAACCTAATTGCTCTGGTGGTCCTCCACAAGAGGATGAATCTGACCTAAACCAAGGCAATGCCCAGGCTCAAACCACAGGCACCCAGCATTACATCACAGGATGCTTGGTGTGCCTATGCTCACCAATCCAGGAAGTTGGGGCTTGCTTGGCAAATTAAGGGGGCACCATGGTGGGGGGGGAGCTCAAAGTTAGAGCAGCGGTATATCCTGGCACCTTACGGCAACCACTTTCCCGAGCAGATGTTGTCTAATGTTGTGTGCTGCTGACACAGGTTCACTTTGAGGCCATAAACACACGGGCAATGTTTGAGCTTCACTTATAAATTCTAGTCTGGAGAGCATCAGCTTCAGCAAGTATTTGCAAAGCATTTAACAAGCTTCAAGTAGCTTTCTTGAGGCCCTTAAGGCACCCATCAGCTCCAGGCTGGAAGGGCTAACTATAGACGTTAAAGTAAGTTCGTGCTTTGCCCACGCTGGAGGACTTAAAACCTATCTAAACCCAAGAACACACACTTGTAATACATCGCAGATAAGGAGTCCTTAGATGTGGTGGCTGCATTCGTTTTCCCTTTTTTTATATTTAAACCTGCTGATCCTGCCATAAACACACTTCCTGTCCTAGGGTGACAACGCTCACTCAGTGCACTGTATCTATGGAGTATGTCTGTGAACGTTCTCATTCATCCAGGTCATGGTAAATCTGTAAAAAAAAAAGAAAGGCAAATGGACTTATTTTTTTTTTATTCTTTAAGACATTTTGCTGGTCACCCTACTAGCTTCTGAATTGAGAAAGCTAGTCATGTGATCAGCAAAATGTCTTCAAGAAAAAAAAAAATACAGTTGGTTTAGTTGCCTTGATTTATTTTTTACAGATGTATCTATGGAGGAGCAGCACTGTCACCCTAGGCTGCTCATTCCTCATTTGGACTACAGAACCCTCTCCTCTCCCCATTGCATGATGCTTTTGCCCAGTGAGGGGAAGGTTCCTTCTTGTTTCCTGTCAGTGAATTAGATAGCATCCAAGTTGGACATTCAGTCTTCATTCAGTCTTCATTTTCTTAATATATATTTTTGCAATATAGTT